TCCAGAACAGTCTAAAACAAGGAGATGCTTTATCACCACTTTGCTTTAGAATATGCCATTAGGAAGGTCCAGGAAAAGCAGGTGGGACTGATATTAAACAGGACACGTTAGCTGTTGGTCTATGCCGATGATGTGAATCTACTGGGTGATAATACAGTTACCATAAAGAAAAACACACAGTCTTTAATTGATGCAAGTAAGGAGGTTGGTCTAGAAGTAAACACAGAGAAAACTAAGTATATGTTGCTGTCTCATCACCAGAATGCAGGGCAAAGGCGAGACATAAAGGTAGCTAACAGAAGTTCTGAAAATGTTGTACAGTTCAGATATTTGGGAACAACGATAACAAATCAAAACCCGATTCAGGAGGAAATTAAGAGGAGGCTGAATTTGCGTAATGCTTGCTTCTATTCAGCCGAGAACCTTTTGTCTTCTTGTCTGCTGTCTAAAAACAAAAATTGTAATATACAAAACTATAATTTTGCCAGTGGTTCTGTATGGGTGTGAAACTTGGTCTCTGACATTAAGGGAGGAACATACACTAAGGGTGTTTCAGAACAGGGTGTTGAGGAGAATATTTGGACCAAAGTGAGATGAAGTGACAGGAGGTTGGAGAAAAATGCATATTGAGGAGCTTCATAATTTGTAGTCTTCTGCAACTATAATTAGAATGATCAAGTCAAGGAGGATGAGATGGGTGGGTCATGTAGCACAAGTGGGGGAGAAGAGGAATGCATATAGGATATTGGTGGGAAATCCAGAAAGAAACAGAGCACTGGGAAAACCAAGGTGTAGGTGGGTGGACAGTATTAAAATGGATCTTAAGAGAGATAGGATGGGGTGGCACAGATTGGATTGATATGGCTCAGGATAGGGACCAGTGCAGGGGTCTTGTGAACATGGTAATGAACCTACGGGTTCCATAAAATGCTGGGAAATTCTTGAGCAGCTGCAGAACTGGTGGCTCCTCCAGAAGGGCTCAGCTCCATGAGTAAGTAAGTATATTGCTACATATGAGGCAGAAACTTGGACCTTAACAGTAACAGAAGAGAATGCACTGAGAATGTTTGAGAGGAAAACAATACGCAAAATATATGGACCAGTGATGGAAAATAATATATGGAGGATAAATACAATAAGGTGATAAACACAATACTGAAAGGAGAAGATATAGTAAGATTTATGAAGTCACCGATAATAAGATGGTTGGGGCATGTTGAAAGAATTGAAGAGCCAAAGAGCATGTAGTTACTATAGGATTCTGACGATGGTGTATAACACATAGAGGTATTGGGTTTTTGGACTTTATCCATCGTCCTGGTTTTTAAGATAACTAAGAAAAAACATGACATTTCGGAAACTGGATCTGTTTCCGTCCTCAGGTGAGGGAAAACACCTATTCTGTTGGGTCCCTTAGAATCACTGGACCAACATCTCTGTGTGACAAAGAGCATGTCAAAAGGAAGGCTATATTCCAAAAGAAGAATAGGAAGACACGGGATGAGATGGCTAGATAATGTTGAGGACGAGCTGAAGAAGATAAAGGTGAAAGGATGATAGAGAAGACAAGGAATAGAGAGCAGTGAAGACTGGTTGTAGAGGAGGCCAAGGCTGACCCAGGTCTTTAGTGCCGAGTGGTAGGCAGGTAGAAACAGTTTCCATCTTTCAGAGTCTAGAAATTAATTTAATATTTCTCATTAACAGTGTTTATATTACAAAAAAGTTTCTTTAAGAAATAGTTTTTTCCCCTGTATAGTAGATTTCATAAGATGAATATATTCTATATGCAATTTTGCACAACTTCACCCTAAAGAAAGTAGCTACTCAGTGTAAGAAACGCTGTTCCCACACGGGATCATTAAATAGGGATTTCACTTTATATTAGTTTCAACAGAATTCTGTATTGAAATGAATCACGTATCAGTCAGATTCCCAAGTCTTTAGTTTTACTGACAAGAGTCCTTCTTCATATACCCTTTGGAAAGTTTGTTTCTTGCCATGTGAGACAGCATATTTCATTTTCTCTATGGGCATTTCAATAGATTCAACAGAAACTGGCTTATTCCGCTTTATAGCCACCAAAATGTTTAAATTTGAATGCTTTCTCTCTAAGTTGCCTATAGGTCCATCTGCAATTTACGGTAAAATCCTGATTTGATTTCTTGATATACAAGTCTCCACACTGTGTTGTCCCAGCAAAAGCCCCATATAAAAAATGTATAATTTTTCACAAATAAATGTACACAAGAATCGTTATTGTGAAATTTGTGCTTCAATTTAGCATCATATTTACTCAAATGGACAACTAGGTTTTACCCTCTACTTTCAACTTTAAAAATTAGGGGGTTTCCCAAACTTCAGCATGAAAAATACACTGATGTTTATAAACGTTTGAAACTTTTAGTGAGTCAAGTTTCTAAGCTGCAGTAAATGCTGATGTCAGCCTAGTTAGTGAGAGAGAGAGAGAGAGAAATATATTTCAAAGTCAGGGGCCATACCCTATGACAAGTTTCTCCAAAGAACCACTAAGGCTACGAGTCAAAAGCCGCAGTTTCCCACAAAGAAATATTACAGTGAATGTGAGAAATAAACTGGCAAACATATAGGCATACCATGTTTTAAAATATTTGTTTATTAATTTATATATTATTAAATGCATCCTAGAGAAATATAATTGGGTGGCATGGATTGCATTAATCTGGCTCAATGCAGGGATCAATGGTGGGCTCTTGTGAATACAGTAATGAACCTTCAGGTTCCATAAAATGTTGAAGAATTCTTGAGCAACTAGTGGTTCCTTAAGAACTCAGCTCTATGGAGTTAGTTTGTTTTTATATTATTATTATTTATATTCAATAATTGCATAAATACTGTACATGTATTATAAAACCTGTTCTTAAAATTAGAACATGGGGTGCGGGAAAAAAGAAACTGAATTTAAGTAGCAACTGCTATGTAACCTGGTATATCATACACTATTTTCTGCTGTTTTCACTTATGTAACATATATTTGTTCATCTTTTGTTAGATTAAAACAAGTAATTGTAATTAAGAATGGAGTGTCATTTTCTGTTTGAATTCTGTATCAGCCCAATTTAAGTACAGAAATCCTGTTCCAAATGCAAAACTTCAGGGAATTTCAATGTATATCAAACAAGTTTTCAAGAGTATGCACTAAATGAATGATATCGCCGATGTAACACACTGATGATCCAAATTTATGAAAAAGCAGATAGAACACAAAAATTTATAGAGGGATTACATTACTTTGACACTTTGTTAAAAATATATTAATCATGAATCAGAAACTGAGAAGACAGGTGGAAAATAAACTGACAAAAAAACTATGATTTCAGAAACGACCAACCAACAGTTGAGTTAATTTGTGCAGTTTGGCATAAAATGGGGAAAAGATGAGAATTTGACAAAGACACATATGAATTTTATTGATACTGAAATGGGAAAAGAATGTTTCTATAGGATTCACAGAGACAATAAAGAATATTTATGGCAATTCTGAAACACCATAGACATAGATGACAAAAAATCAAAACATTTTAGAGGAGTTAAGACACTAAAGTATTCTGTTCCCTGTGTCATTCATCACGGTAATTCTGATTCTCTGTATGACGTCGCACTCTCTCCACATACTCACATCAGTTTACCTTACTTGCAAGTGTATCTCATTCTGCGAATAAGTGATTCCCTAACTTCAAACCCAGTTTCTTTAAAATTGGTTCTGATGTGGAATACTCAAATAATCAGGTGATGACTTATTAAGGCAAAACTAAAGTTCTTCCTGTGCCCATGCCCCATGCCTAAAATGCATACAGAGGCACATTTGTAGCCTCAGCATAAGACACCAGAAAAAGACCCAGTGTACGTGGTCCATCAGTAAAGTTTGCGAACTCATTGCAGTAAAAGTGCTACATACCTCACTGCTGAATGTCACTGTGGTTGCTTTCAAAGTACTTCCCTTGGGAAGCTATGCACCGATGTCAGTGCCTAGGCCACCCTTCAAAACAATTTTGGAAATGTTTTTGTAGAATGGCCTTCAGAGCTGCTGTCTTATTACTCCTGATGCCATCACTGTCATCAAAATGCTTTCCTTTAACTTTGGGAACAGAAAAAAGTCACCGACGACTAGATCCGGTGAATAGGGAGGGTGTTCCAGCACATTGATTTGTTTATTAGCTAACCACTCCCTCACAGGCAGTGTTCTTTGATGAGCTCCTCTAGAATCATTTCTGTGCACACCTTCCTCATGTCAAGGTCTTCCTAAGTGTTTCTCTGACGATGTTCGCTTGCTCTGCTATGCTCCTGAGAGTCAGCCAACGATTTTCACACCAATTGGACAAACTGTGAAATGTTTTCTTCAGTTCTGCTAGTTGCTGGCTGTCCTGATCTCTCTTCATCAGTGATACTTTATCTTTCCTCAGAAAAACATGTCACCCACTTGCAAATTGATGTTTTCTTCATAGCCCTATCCCCGTAAACTTGCACTAAGATCTCTCTGATTTTGCTTCCAATCTTGACAAGTTTAACAAGAAATTTAATGTTTGTTCTGACATTCTCACAACGGCACACCAAAACACTCAGACAATAACAGACGCCATTCAGAAAGAGACTGCCATAGATCAACGACAGCATAGCTGTGAAAAGAATATATGCCAATGTCATCAACCAGTACTGAGTTTTCTGTTCATTACTGCCATGGCAAGCACATGGTAGCGAGTTCACGAACTTTATTGTCAGACCTCGTATTTTGGGCAGACACCATGGGCTCCAGACCTGGTCTGGACACCATGGTGGCAGAAAGAAAACTTCCTCCCCTTCTGCGAACTGAACTCTGGTCATCTAGTCATATCCAGTGACTGAATGATTGAGCTAACCAAGCTAATGTTACAGCAGTTTTGCTGACCTGGAATGAGATGTATCAAACACACAAAATATAGAGAAAATTATTTTCATTACAAAAAACATAGATGAAAATCACTCACTTGTGTGTTGAGCCCAGCAAGTGGTCTCAGTACTTGTGGTTGTGGTGTGGTGTTCATTACCTCCACTGGTTGCACAAACATTCCCGCTTGAATAAAAGTCTGGAAATAAAACTTATTTATTTCAATCAAATATATTGTCTTCAACACGAAATTGAAAAAGATCTTCTTTTGTGATTTATTTTAAAATGCTCTAAGTATCTTCACCATACAGTAAATGATAGGATGACTGATAGAATAGGAAAGAATTTGGAAGGTACTATGGTCTGATTTAATATCCCAGCATTTGCCTGAAGGGACTAAGGGAAACCATGAGATACTTCCAGCCATATGTGCTAAAGAAAATATCTGCAACTTTGAGAGACTAGGAGGAAACAAAGACAATTATAATAGGCAGCCATATAATTTGAACTTTATATCAAGGCAGTTCAAGTGAATGGGATCCGTACCATGGATGGATAAATACTAATTCAACTGGCCATCAATATTATGAAAATATGAAATAGCATTTAGTTCACAAAAATCTTACTTTTGTATAAAAGTAAATGTAAAGTTATATCTGTATTGAATTATATAATTAAGCACTATGTTATGAAAAGATAGGGTTGCACCTCATCCTAAAATATTCTCAGATATAATATACGAGTAAATGTTCCACCTGTTAAAAACCTATTTATTCACAGTACTAACAACTTCATTCCAGAGTTTCAAGCACAAATAATTAAATCCTACCTACAAATAATGATTTTGTGTGGAAAAATTTTAACCATTCAGGCTTATGGAATGCAACTCCACACATCTTTCTGGAGCCTTTCAATTTCATGACAGCACACCTTACTGCCCTGATTGGATTAGGGGAATATCCTTGGATCCTCAATAGCGTGTTCCCTTCCTACGTAGGCTAGCACTGCCAGGTCTTCATTGCATTGCATTCCTTGGATACAAAGTAGGTCAAAATGACCATAGGATGTGGAATATGTCACATGTACAATACAACTGAAGTTTTCACGCAAGAAAACCCAAGAACAGACAGTGGTTACAACATATGAGACTATTAAAAATATGTCCATATATATACATGAATAGTGTCAACTTATGCTCTTTACACAACCTTTAAACGGATGAGTCACTTTTCAGACAAAAGGTATTCATCAACACAGTAGAATGAGTGTGTGTTTAATTATGGTTTTAGTCATAAGACTCGAGATCAGACGGCAGATTATTGAAAATTCTGATCTGAGCATAATATGCATTGCTTTGCTATAAGCAGCATAAATTTATTTTGACTTTGGCAATACCTTCTTGTCGAGATCAAAGTGAAGGTGGCCATATTAAACATATGTTTTCTGTTTCTTGACAGAGTGACACCTCAGAGGGTGTGGTGCCACCTTCCAATCCACAGGATCTGTACTCCTTCATAAATCCAATAATAGGACTGGAGTTGACCAAAGGCTAAATGTTTCTCCATTTCTTTATGATTTTCGTGCCATCTGATAATTTATAACAGACAAGATAAAAAGACGCTTCTTTTTCCTATGACTTCAAAAACACAATGTTATAGCCGTATCTTTCCACAACCTACCATATAAGGAATTCACTTTTATCAGGTCATTAGGCAAGTTTAATCTTATAGATATTGCTGCCAGCACTTAGCAATCTCTAACAAAGGTGTTGCAATATGTACCAGTTGCCTGTATACATTTTATGTCCTAGGTGCAGTAGAGATGACATCAGTTCCATCACTATGACCATTGTGTTTTCCCAAGAAAATTCAAAACTGATAGCTGTATCCACTCACATTTTTGTAGTTTATTTCATGCCATACTGGACCGTTTTTGAAGGACCAGTTCAGTTCGTACAAACGAAAGCCTACCACCGCATATGACAAACAAGTGCACATCTAAAAATTTATGTTCAGGTGTTCCAAAGGTGTTCTCACTTTAGGCAGACAGCAGCACCACACCAAACGTTTTTTTAAAAAATGTGAATTAAGAATAACGTCTCAAAGAGCATCACAATAGCAGCAGGTACTTTAAGTTCAATTTTTTCTTTTTACGGGGGATTCTTCTATTGCATCCTTTATCATTTGAGATAGTAATATTCTCTCTGAATCAGTATCTGTTCTCAAGACATATAACCAAATTAATCTATGAAATGGGAGAGAGCAGAGGCTACCCATTGATTAACGGCTGTCGTGATTTATATGGTCACCTCACTCACTCAGATGTACACATGCACATCAAGCTACTTACATACCTACTTAACAGATTAAATTAGTTTTAGAAGTAGAGAAACAAAAGAATTCTTACCTGAATAATTTTCATCACTACTTTCAGCTAAATCCGTACATGGGAAATTATTTTTGTAACCTTGAGAGAGAACACCACATAAGTCAGTTTAACAGTTGCAATAAACAGTCAAATGTCAGTATAATGAACATCCAGGGAATGACAAATTATATCTGTTGTAATGAAATTTCAGTGTTAAAGGGAATTAAACAATAACATGCACTTCATTTTTATAAAAACCACTATTTCTGTTTACATGTTGCATTGTGTATTCCTGGTGACATCAGTGGATGGGGGCAGGGGTTAATAGCATGCTGCCCTTAACCCTTTGACGTGGTCATTTAAATTCCGCGGCCGCGGCTCCTGCGGTAATATATTCAGCCGGCCATTTAAATTTTGCTCGAAAATTATTTATTCATCATTGTTCTTAAATTCTATGAGATAGGAACATGAAACTTTCACTAAAATGATCTTAAAAGGTGGTTTTATAACCTTACCTTATAATATGAACCCCCTTTATATCTTCAATGGAAGCAGGTTGTTTAGTATTTGAGCTGTGAATGGTACGCTTTGAAGGATGAAACTTTCACTAAAATGATCTTAAAAGATGGTTTTATAACCTTGCCTTATAATATGAACACCCGGTATCTCGGCTATGTAAGCAGGTGACGCCTTGAAGCATTAGTCTAAACACAGCGCTCGCTCACATCCCACCACACCAATACTGCGTATCTTTACTTTTGCTTTTTTTTTTCTAACCACACTTCTGTGCGGTCTTCTTCCCCGTGGGGGGAATACAAGTGGAAATGTCCCTCCGTGAGTCGTATATTTTGACAGATTAGCTGCAGTAAATTCAACCTTTGTGTTATCATAAGAAGGGTTTGGTGCTTCTGCGTTTCAGATTCCAACCTTTTCGGCTCCCCAGATGTCGTAGGGGTGACCACAGAATTCATGAATTTATTA